AGTCTCTGTATATGCACATGTGCAGAAGGGTATTCTTGGAGTCCAGAGAATTGTTTTGGAATCCCTGGAACTGTAGTCACAGGTGGTTATAAGCCACTTTGTGGCTGTAGGAACCAAGCCCAGGTCCTCTGCAAGAGCAGCCAGTGCTCTTAACCACTGAGTGGTCTCTCCAGAATCAGAAGAGATTATTTGGAAACCAGGAGGCTTTGCTGTTGAACTTGACGTGTAGCAGTGTGTTCATTCTGCCTCTAATACTGAAGCCACGGGGGAGAGGAAAGCACTTCTCAGAGTGCAACAGGGTTGAGCAGCCACTGATGCACAAGAATGAGTGAAGGGAAGAGCTGTGGGTCCTCCAGACAGGAGGCTGGCACAGGCTGTTCCCTGCTCTGCTTGCTCTTCCTCGGTAGTCCTGGCAACCAGGAAGGGGTGAGTGTGGACATTCGTACCCATTAAGAGAACTGCCTGACACTGCAGTGCTTAGATTTGGGGTTCGGTGTTGCAGCAACAGCTACAGAACTATCCTTGCACTCCAAGAGTGTGTCATGCACAGGAGGGCTCAGCTAGTTCTGTCTGTAATCAGCAGGTCTTGATGCTGATTGGCTGTGGATCTGAAAGCCTGGACAAGGAAGAGTGTTTTCCTGTGGGTGCCTGTGTTCACAGCCCTCCTAACTCCCTTCCTAATGTATCTACAGGTTGCCCCATTGCTCACCAACATGGAAGAGGCTGTTGGGTCTGTCGAGGATAAAGAATATACATGCTTCTCCGATGCTATAGCCATTCAAAAAAACAGCAGTATTTTATCTGTGGAAGTTGTCAAGAATATTGAGACTGCTGTGAATGAAGGAAAGTTGGGAGAAGTGGTCTCCATAGTCAAAGATATCAGTCAGGAAGTATCCAGAAGCACAGTGAAAATTGCCGTGACTGGGGACTCTGGCAATGGCATGTCATCCTTCATCAATGCCCTTAGGCTCATTGGACATGAGGAGGAGGATTCAGCTCCCACTGGGGTGGTGAGGACCACCCAGAAACCAGCCTGTTACTCCTCCTCCAGATTTCCCAATGTGGACCTTTGGGACCTGCCTGGCACAGGGGTCACAGCTCAGAGCATGGAGAACTACCTGGAGGAGATGGACTTTGAGAAATATGACCTTATCATCATCATCGCATCTGAGCAGTTCAGTTCAAACCATGTGAAGCTGGCCAAAGCCATGCAGAGGATGAAAAAGAGGTTCTATGTCGTCTGGACAAAGCTGGACAGGCACCTCGGTACAAGTGCCCACTCAGAACCCCAGCTACTGCGGAGTATCCAGGAGAGTATTCAGGAGAACCTCCAGAAGGAGGGGGTGAAGGTGCCCCCCATATTCCTGGTATCTAGCTTTAAGCCTTCATTACATGACTTCCCGAAGCTCAGAGACACACTGAAAAAAGACATCCCCAGCATGAGATATTATGGTCTCTTAGGAACCGTTATCCAAATATGCGAGAAGACTATTAATGAGATAGTCGAAACCATTAATAAGAGCATAGATGAGGATAATCTAAAATCTATTGGAAACTCAAATCCAGATAATCTGGGAGAGTGTCAGAAAGTATTCCAAGAAAGATTAGGTGTGGATGACAGATCTCTCCACCAGGTGGCTCTGATAATGAACCAGCCTGATGTTGATTCCATGATTGCCAAGCTATCCCAGGTTACACAGAGAGACCAAGATGGCTGGACTCTGCCTCAGCTTTCTCGTTCCGGAATCAAACGTTTCTATACAAGGTTTAACGACAACATCAGTGGCTGTTTTGACTCTCGCCGTCATAGACACATGAGTCAGAAAGATGTGCTTGATGAAGTTGCTAAGCAAACCAAGAAAATTCTGAGGGAAATCCTGAAACAGTCCATTATCCTTCCTCAGGAGGGCTAGACAACTGAGGTCCCCTAACCAGCTCTGTACCCTACGTCTACCCGAAGTTGAGCTTACCTGAGCTATGGATTCCAAGTTCCTTGAGGTTAATGGTCCACCTTTTTTGATGGGTGTCCCCCCCCTCAGGAAACACCATAATGGATTTTGCTTTGTATCTTTTGTTTAATTTTATTAACTGAACTATCTGGGATCCCAATATAGGAGAAATTTCCTTATTTTGACTGTACAGAATCTCACGTTTGACACACGGTTATCTTTGCACCTATGGTAGATATTGTTTCTCTAAGAGGCCTCTTGGTTTCCCATCTCTCTTTGCCCTCTCTTCCTCTTTCCTGTTTGGGGAAGCAGTGCATCCCTGGGGAATGAGGACCAAGCTCTGAAAGCATGGCTGGTAGAGGCCTGGTCTCTGACCTCTCCTCCCATGTGTAAAGAGAGGGGAATTAACTCTGGACCACTGGAAATGGGATTCACCAAGTGCTGAAGGGAAGAATTCTAAGTACCCAACACTGCCCCCAATGGCATCAATGGCGTCATGTCTAGTCATGGCCCCTCCCACTCTGTGCATTCACAGTCCCCTATTGGATCTGAACTTTTTCAGCCACCCTAACTCTACAGGCCAGACACTTGGACCCTCCTCTCTTCCACATGGAGCTTTCCCATTTTCCTCAGTTGTGTGTGTGTGTGTGTGTGTGTGTGTGTGTGTGTGTGTGTGTGTGTTTATCTAAGACAGATGCTGCCCGGCATTCAGTCACCTCTCTTTCTGTCAGGCCAACCTTTAACTGTCTCAGCCCTGTACCCTCCACTTCTTTCAGGACACTAAATCATCCCCCACTTCCCACCATTGCAGTGTCACATCCCAGCACGTGTGCTTTCATGTCACTTGTTACAGGAAGGGTTTATGTTTGCCTTGTAGTTTGACAGTACAGCCCATTGTCCCTGAAAGTCATCACAACAGGAGCACAGGGCAGCTGGTCACATTGTGATCACAGTCAGGAAGCAGAGAGAGAAAGATGAATACTGTTCCTTGGCACATGCTCTCCTTTCTTTCAGCCCAAGACCCCAGCCCATAGAATGATACCATCCACCTTCAGAGTTGGTCTTCCAACCGTATTGATCCAAGTCGAGAAACTCCCCCATAAATATGCCCAAAGGTCTGCTTGCATTCAAGATCCTGCCAAATTGACATTCAATATTAGCCATACAGGAACTCTGATAGCAGAGGGGTGTATTGGAGTTTTATTGATTAGTAGTGTGAAGAAGATTGGGTGTGGCTCAGTAGTCCAGTCCTTGAGGATCACACAGGAGGCTATGGTTTTGATACCCAGAAAGAAAGAAACAAAACCTGTTTTGAGACAGGAAGACAATGCCAATTGTATTTGCTGAGAAAAACACATCAACTGTATCATCTTGCTGGCACAAGAACTTTGTGAAAAAGGCTCATGTAAATGTAAAAGGTAGGTCTACTTTACATGCTGGGTAAGGATGGGATGGACTAAGAGTGTCAGTGGTGGTGGGATTGGGGTTGACGGGAATAAAGCTCTGGCTAGCCTCACCTTCCACCTGCTCCAGTCTGGTAGTGTAAATCCATAGACTCCCAGGAAAGGTCTGCAAAGAAGTCGCAGAAGTTTTGTTTCTCATCCTCCTGATGCTCACAAATAATTTTTGACAGTGAGTTTATAGCGTGGATTTCACTGCAGTGTGTTCACTGTTAAAGTGAGGGGGCTTACTCTTTGAAAGTCGTGTGGGTGCTACTGCTGAGGTTGTGTGTGTTTGTCACAGGGAATCTATCCTGGCCCCAGCCCTGAAGAAACTGACATGAAGACTGTGATTTCACTCTTAGCCCGCTGCAAAAGCAGGGTATAAATTCTATGTCTTAAAAAATAAATGTAGATTTTCTTTTTGCTAGTTGTATATACAGACCTCTTTGTGTACAGATACAGAAATATATGTACACATTATTAACTCATCACACACATGTATGATGTATTGCATGTAACATACATACTGTTAATCCCTAATATAAATAACTAATAAGAGTATACAATACAAATATGTGTTGGTTTTTGTTCTTTTTATTTTTGATAACTTCCCATGGGGACTCTATCTATATTGCTCCCACTCCCTCCTTCCTCCACGTGCTCCTCCCGAGTGTCCCAAATGTATCTTTCGTAGGGTGACTGAGACAGAGTTTCTCTGTTTCACAGCCCTGGCTGTCCTGGAACTCACTCTGTAGACCAGGCTGGCCTCCTACTCACAGAAATCCACCTGCCTCTGCCTCCTGAGTACTGGGATTAAAAGTGTGAGCCACCACTGCCTGCCCACTCCCCAAATGTTTTTAATAATAAATTTATTTTGGTTTTTCTTTTTTTTTAAGATTTATTTATTTATTATTTTATTATATATAGTGTTCTGGCCTGCATGTTTGCCTGCACACCTGAAGAGGGCACCAGATCTCATTACAGGTGGTTGTGAGCCACCATGTGGTTGCTGGGAATTGAACTGGGGACTTCTGGAAGAGCAGCCAGTGCTCTTAACCTCTCAGCCATCTCTCCAGACCAAGGTTTTTCTTTAAAAAAAAAAAAATTAATTTAATTGTATGTCCATTGGCATTTTGTCTGCATGTATGTGTGTGAGGTTGTCAGGTTTTGGAGTTAGAGACAGTTGTGAGCTGTCATGTGGCTGCTGTGAACTGAACCTGAGGTCAGTGTTCTTAACCACTGAGCCATCTCTCCAGCCCCACCCCCTTTATTTTTTGGTTTTCCAAGAGAGGATTTCTGTATGTACCCTAGTGTCGTGGAACTCACTCTGTAGACCAGGCTGGTCTTGAACTCACAGAAATCCTCGTGTCTCTGCCTCCCAAGCATTGGGATTGAAGGAGTGTGCCACCACAGGCCAACAATAATGGATTTTTAAAAAAGATATAATTATCTTTGTGTTTGGGGGGGGGTTGTATAAGTAGGAATACCCAGGGAGGCCAAAGGCATTGGATTCTCTTCAGCTAGAGTTGAGAGGTAGTTGTGATCCTGATATCCATGCTGGGAAACGAACTTGGGTCCTCGGCAAAGGCGGTATACACTCTCGATCTCTGAGATCTCTTTCCAGTCCCATGGAGTGGCTTTTTAAGAATAAAGTGTCAGGGCTGGAGAGATGCCTTGATGGGCCAAATGCCACTGTTCCAGCAGGAGGACCTGACTTTGAATATCTATCATCTATGTCGAAGAACAGGTGTGGTAGTACATGCCTGTAAGGAGGTAGGTTGAGATAGGTGGATCCCAGGAGCCTGCTGGTCAGCTGGTCTAGCCAAAATGGCAACATCCAGGTTCTGTGAGAGAACTTGTCTCTGAAAATAAGGTGGAGGGTAATAGAGGAAGACCCATGACATTGACCCCTAACCTCCTACACACTCATACAGGCAAGCACCCTGGTACACACACACACACACACACACACACACACACACACCACACCACACCACACCACACACACACATTCTCTTTTTCAAATTTCACTTGTGACATCAAATGTGTTAAAACCTGTTTCCACAACCAGGAAGGTCTCCCCCACAGCAGCCTTCGCTCCACACATCAGGTCCCAAAAGCCCCCCCCCCCAGCAGCCTTCCCTCCCACATCATATCCCAGCGTCTTCTCTCTTTATTTACCAAGGAGGAACTGACACACAGAAGGAAATTTATGCAGGAGGCTCAGCTAGTCTCACGTGTAAATATTTGGGGTTACCCTCAGACATTATCTCCCCGGAAGAGTCTGCTACACTTTAGCATGAACACGCAGCTGCTTTCAGTATATTGCTCCAAACAGAGCAGAATGAGCTACAGAGAGACACTATGAAAGAGCTCTGATTGTGTGGGAGCCAGAAGGCTGCTTTCACTTGAGAGCTTGGGAAGGAGGTTCTGCTCTGAGGACAGTTCCTGGGTGAGGAGTGGTTACTTCTGCAGAACTGACATGTCCCCTCCTGGGATGCTTAAAAGGTCAAGAAGTAAACAACCTCCACAGGGCCCCCTCCACAACGTTCTATAAGTAATAGCAATTCTGGGGAAGTGGGGTCTCTGATCGGGGAGCTGCCAGGCAACTCCAGGGATACAGCTGTCATGACCTCTGACCCACACTGGATGGCTTTGCAGCGATGTGGCCTCTGAAACACTCTGCTTCTGAAAGTAGCCCTTCGCCTATTGCTGCAAGCCACAGGAAAATGTGATGGAATCCAGCTACACTCAGAAAAGGTACTACTTGGAAAAGTTTAGGACTTTTCCAAAGGTCAAACCATGGCTTAAGAAGTCTTGGTGATATTTTAGCTTTTGTATATATATTAGTTGGTTCCTACAGTGATTTTTTTGAAATTCCATGCATGCTTCCAAGAACTCCCAACAGTGTATTTATCTAAATTACCTATCAAGCATCCAAGGCCAAAATGAAACAACACCTGTCCTAGGTCAGGCAGATAGCTTTATTTCTTGTGCAGTTTCGGGTGAGACCCTCCTTTCTTGTACAGCCTTCCTAATAGACCCCTAACTTCTTACCTAACCACTTCTAGGAATGTAGACTGAGCACATAGATCCCCTCTGTGATATGCTAACAGGTCATTAGTACTCAGTTGACCTCCTCTTTCAGCACTGGCATTTGGGGTTGTAAAAGAAAGCCTGACAGTCACTGTCTGAGGAAAATTCTTACCTACCCTTATGACCCCATAAGAATTCAAGCCTGGTGACCTTTCTCTGGCAGAGGACTGCTATTGCTTGGGTTATAACTGGATTCCTTAAAGACTTGGGGAGAACTGAGAGAATAAGGAGATGGAGAGGAGGAGGGAGAGAGGAAAAAAGAGAATGGAAGAACTAGTTGGTAAGAACTGGAGAGGAATGGACTAGATGGGAAGAACTAGATGGAAGGGCTAAAGGAGAGGACTAGAGGAACAAGATGGAAGATGAGGAAGAGCCAGATGGGGAAGAACAAGATGAGGAAGAACAAGATGAGCAAGATGAGATGGAAGAGAAGTTCATATGGGAAAGAACTAGATGGAAGAGATCCTAGATGGGCCAGAACAATGATGAGAGAATTAAGATAGAACCTAGAGGGTATAGTATATGAATGTATAGAGAAATCAGGCAAGAAGGGGGCTAGGCATGAGAGCAGAATAGAAGCTGTGTAGAGAGAGAACTGACTCAGAAGAATAAAGTGTATGGACTAAGGAGTTTAGTGTATA